GGGCAGATACGCAATCGACCATGTGGTGTTGTGTACCCTCCTTGGTATCGCGTACTTCGTTGATTTCACGTATCCTGTCCACGTCTCCTGCTACGTAAATTAAGCTGTCGCAAACATGGTGATTTGTTGCATTTTAATAAATTAATTCCCGACGTTTCGAACCCTATTCGGCGTTCATGGTCCCGGGACAGACCAACGCTGTAAAGGGTTCGAAAGTTTGGGAAAAAAAAAAATAAAAATAAACGCGATAAATATAGCTTGATTTGTCGAAAACAGTTTGGGCAGACAGCACTTTGACAAAATTGTAGCGGATGGGAATTTAAACTCGTTCAAATAGGCATTAACAGCAAACTTTCAGCCAACGAAAAGTCCTTCGATCGTAGGAGATGTGAAGGCGTACTTTAATTATTTTATACGTAAAAAATAAAATGGAAAAGTACTGGTGCAACCCATTAGGATTCAAACACACTATACTACACTATACTTGCAGAATATACACTATACTATACTTACCGAAAAACCAACACTTTTTCTGCGCACTCCTCGAATACTAAGAACGGATTGCGATGCCAATTAATATGGAGTGTAGGATGGGAAGTCAGAAGGGATTACGTGTTTTATTGTATGGTAACGTAATACTTCCGATTTATATGCGCAGAAGAGAGCAACGGAACGACATTGGGCGACAATAACGTCTGCAACTTCCGCGTTATAACAGCCACCGATGGCGATACGTAGAACTGTAATTATCATACAATGCGTTAGAAAACTTCACGATCCCTTGTTACGTATAAAGTTATGCATGAAGTGAACATTTCGAATATAGTTGAAATAGGCCGTGCCTGAAAGTGGCAGCTGAGCATAAAGGAATGGGAACGGTGTACCTCGAGATAGGCACTCTGTGCCGGCTTGTAATTTTAGATATCGTACCACCCCCCGCCACCCCACTCCCGCTCCTGAGCCCGCTGCGGATTAGAATGAAAAAATAACGCTTTATTATCTTCCCTTTGACCGTATGTCTTACCTTTACGGATTCCTTCTCCCCTCCCCAATTGAGGTTGTTTTTTTCTGTTTTTTTTTTTGGTTATTTTACGTGCGTGGGCTGTAGGTTTTCCCGTGATCGTATGCTGGAAAGTAACAGTGTTACATATGTTGAGGATTAATCAAAGGTTGCGTTCCATAGCAACGTTCCATTGTAGTTTTTAGGGTTCAGTCTGTTTGTCTGTTTGTCACCAGGCTGTATCTCATGAACCGTTATAGTGTGTCAGTTGAAATTTTCAGAGATTATGTATTTCTGTTGCCGCTAAGACAACAGATACTAAAAACAGAATAAAAAATATTTATATGGTGTCCATACAACAGACATGTTTTTTTTTTTTTTTGCCGTTTTTATATATAATGGTACGGAACCCTTCGTGAGCGATTCCGACTCGCACTTGGCCGGTTTCTTTTAGAATAGTCCTCGATACGTATTTCAAGGACGCGGCCCCGCAGTGGCAGCTTTTGTAGAGTCGGGAGATTTTGCTATAAATGACATTTATCCGGTCGCGAGGCACGAGGGTGTCTCTTTGTTAAGCGTTCGAGGCTGAAAGATTTTCCTCCTTTTATTATTTCACATATAATTTATGGCACTTCTTGCGTTCACGTATTTCCCCCGCCGGAGGTTAGGCGAAAACATTTTTTGATGTTCTTTTGATAACGATGTTTCCTTGGGCTGGCTTCTTCCCCTCAATCGGGAAATTAATGTAAAATGATTCCGTTTGTTGAACGGGTGTAAGCATTGGCAGTTAAATAGATGGGGGACATCACAGGCGGTTTCAGTTCGATTCCAGATGTATCTATCGTGCACCAGCGTTTTATTGGTTGTTAACCAGTTTATAGTTGTGTGATATTTTATTTTTAAAAAAACGACAAAAAAATAGGTTCCCTACGGAGTTTCTTCTCCGTTAGAGGAACGTCATTACGAAACGGTGGTAGAAAAAAAATGTGACTATCGATAGATGAAATGTATGTTTCTTATGTCGATGAATAAATGATATTGATTTTGATTTGGGATTAACCAACTCTGTAATTAACTAAGGATGCATCAAGCGGGGCATATGTTAGGAATCAATGCGTGATAATGAACAGTGGAGTATTCAATAGATACGTGTCCGTTATTCCGATTTTAATTACGCGATAGCCAGCACGTTCATTTTCATAAAGGGAAAGTTTACGGCACATCCCATCTTCCTCGGGCGCTGGCGAAGTGCTGAGATCAAAGCATCCCATGCGATATATTAAAGTTTTATTCGGTGCCGCACGGCCGCCCCGACTGGCAATTTCCTTTTCAATTACGTCTACTTGAAGCCGGCGCGGGAGAGGGAGATGGAGAGAGAGAAAAAAAAATACAATTTTTATTTGTGCGGCGGTAATTAAAAAGGGATTCCGTAATGAAAAGGTACACCGCTAGTTCCGGCCGCTCCTCTCCTCTCAATTTCGCTTCCGTTTGTTTGTTCCACGAGGGCCACGCCTTCGGGACCGCAGCGAAGGGTTGCCGACGCTAACCACGGAATACCTCAATACTCGTGTACCGCCGCCCTTTAATCTTTCGATAAAACTTCTTCTATGTATTTATCAAAGAGACATCTTGCTGTCTGTCTGTGTGCTTATTGCTCTATATCCGATATGTTTGATTTCTTCAAATATATATCTTAATATATATAAATCTTCTGTACGTGTGTATGTCATTGAACTCCTCGGTCCTCCTACGGCTGGACCGATTTAAATTAGATATTTGTGTGTTGAACCTGTTCACCTGAACCAGGTGAATTCGAGAATTGTTTAGATTCACAAAGTTATTCAAAAAGTTTGAAAATTTCGATTTTAAGACGTGTTTACAGGACGTCCGTTGGGTTCGCTAGTATTTTATATAATAATAAAGCAGTTACGCTTTCAGTCGGTCTTTCCGTTTGTGACAATATTTGTGAATTACTAGAGAGTTCTCCGAGTAGTTACTTGTCCGATTGATATATTATTAAATGTATAATTAAGAATTTTTTACCGATTTTTAATATGGATTCAAATGCTTTATACAAAGTTCGTAATTCATGCGAGACCGCGGTCGCAGTAAGTGGTGATTTATGTTCAAGCAAAAAATTATGTATTTTTCTTGACCTATTTATGACGGAGATAAGCCGAGTTAACCTCATTCCTTACAAAGTCGACCTATCTTGGACCGAAACTCACTCTTTTGAAATAAGTCAATTATGCGTTGATTGTTTGAGTGTGCAACACTGCGGGTAGATCTTTCAGACCATAATGAGTTTAGAAGGTTTTTATATAATTTTTCTTTATTAATTGTGCAATACAAAGGGACTCTGGACACGTTAAGTAGCTTCCCTGAATTTTTGCTAAATAAAAGCACCGACGACTTGATTGACATCTTGGTAACTGTGTCACATTAGCAGTATTCCACGCTATTTATAATGTAATACCACTATGAAGCGATCTCCACTATTTTTAATTTAATTATACGTGCTTACTAACTTTACCGTGTTAATAAGCAGCGGTGGACTAGTGACTCCTCTATGAGGTTGTAGGTTCTCATCTGGATGCGTCGTTAAGGATAGATTAAAATAACAGTTTAATTAAGACAGTAGTGGCCTAAATCGTGGATTCATTTCCTGAAAGGTTTTACAAAATAAACAATTTTAAATAACTAACAAACAAAAAAAAACAAACAAACAAACAAAACAAGAAAAGAGATAACAAGACCGCAGAGTTTCTTGCCGATTCTTCTCTGTTCAGGTATAGTTTAGTGAACTGGTGGTAGTTTTTTGTCTTTCAATAAATCTTTTTTAAATTAAGCCTATGTTGGATGAAGAGATTTTGAGTTCGACTTTGAAACACTTTCACGCTTGAGAAGTTGTAATGTACACAAATCACTATAGTAATTCTGTACTCGGTGCTCGCCGATACTTTTATTCTCGTCATCTGTCTGTTATAGGATCAACAATATATCTATGCCTATCTTATACGTTAAGGTTAGTTTCGTAGTAGACATATCCTTTGTACATCTTGTCTATATTTTGCTTTGTTCGAATCTTTGGACTTTAATTTATCACAAACCAGATAAAGCTTACAACCCTAACTGATTATAATAATTTGTTTCCGCTTCGCTTGCTTTTGGCTACGGCGCACTCCGAAAAATATTTCTGTTTTTTTTGTTCTCGGCTTAAATTAAGCATCTGTAAATTAGTGCATCCATAGAATAATCGGCAATAATTAAACGTAGAACTAATTTATTTGTAATCTGACGATAATTAAATTTATGTCAAGTAGTGTAAATAATCAAGTCCCTAGCAAAGACTTGCCAAAATCCACGATCCTACAAATAATTTAATTTATATTTGAACTAACTATAAATGAACCTATACAAAATAAATGTTATAACTTTTAAGTTTCTTTTTATTTTAACGTCTTGTTTATGTGAAAAATTGTCTTCAGAACAGAGTTTCACCTTATGTTAAGTGATTACCGTCGCTCATGGACAACACCTGAGGGCTTGCGGATGCGTTGCCAAGTTTTAAAAAAGTGAGCCTTGGCTTCCTCACTCACCAGAAGAAACGTGAAAATATACAATTTCCACCTCACGCTTCCCTTCTGCGAGGCCGTGGTTTTGCCTGTCCATACGTGCTAGTAGAAGCTAACGAGAGGATTACTTTCGGGTGGTAAACGGGCCCACAGTCCTTGTTTCACTAACAAAAATAATAAGTAATGAACATTAATAAAGTAGTGAGTAAAGTTATCAAGAAAAGTTTACAGACACAATTTTAACATTCAAATTTATCAAGAAAAAAAATTCTTTAGTATTAAATAACGAAATTAATCCCAACTTGCATAAGCCTCAAACTCTAAGGTTCTTTTAGGTATCCTATTTATTTCAGTTCGGAACGCAGTTCTCTCGTAAACACGAGAAAGCTTCGCGAAAGCCCTGGAGACGAGCACAAAAGCTCTCAATCTAATCCAGGCTTGCCAGTATGAGTATTAGAGCGCGGGCCGTCGACAAAGGCGCCGTGATCAGGCGGAAGTGCGACCGATTGCCTCGTCTGAGTCGCCTTCCGCCGCCTCGGGTATTCCCCGTTTAAGTTCTGTTCCGCCACCCTGTTTGCTGCCAGCAGCTTTATTTGCAGGTAATCACGACGCTCCGCTGCGTTGAAGACTGCGAAGCGAGTGATCTAAGTAACGTCGATAAAGTTGGAGCGGAATAAGCGACGTAGATGGAATGGCGGCGTTTGCAGGCAGTTCAAAGTACGCTTAATGTAAATCGACTATGAGCTCTGAGTACGTATTAGACGAGTGTAATCGACAGTAAGGTAAGTTAGGTATAAAAATCTCGCTAAATGTTTCAAATATAACTAATTAAATATTACAAACACATCGGATATGTTCCTTTATGTTGGTGGTTCCGTAAATACAAACTTATAATTTCAACTTAGCTCGTTCACATATTCTCCGCCCCTTTATCCGTCTTACTTCTGTCACTTTTATTTTACATGCATAAAGTTACAGAAAAACAAGAAATTCAAAAGAAAGTATATGAAATAACCGGCGTTTTCTCTGCTTCATTTTCGAAAGTGCTGAGCTTAAGGTTTTAAAATGAACAGAAATTTAAAACGAAAATTCTTAAACTGCCACGGAAAACCGGAAAATACTTTAGTGATACTATTTCCCGTAATTGTGACTAAAAATAAAACATGAATCATATTAAAGAGAAACAGCACTATCTAGAGTACGGGAGCATCATCAAGTTGTACCACAGTTTTTTTATTTTCTTTTCAAATACTATTGCATAGAATATTATCAGTTATTACATGATGTTACTGTTTCGAATGTTGGTATATCGTTTTCCTGGTGCTCTTATAAACCGTCAGTATTCCTCGCCGTTCCCAGTCAGAACAAAATGTGTCAGTGTGTCAGTGTGCAGGGCTCGAATTTTTGTGTTACAAAATGTCTGTGCTTCTGTAACTGCAACTATCCAATTTTAATCCTATGGACATTTCCAGTCATTATAAGTACTCTTGTTTTTCAAATCGGGACAAAGTATGTGGTCTTTATAATTAGTTGTAGCAACTGTTGCTCCGTGCGAGAAAAGTAAGTAATAAAATAACTTTGACAAGGTTCTTATTCCACCCCTAAGGTACCACGGCCTCGCCGACGACCGGCGTGAAGTGAAATCGCTATGTTTTCACGTTTCAGGTGAGTGAGGTAGCCGCGGCCAACCTATCAAAAGCTTTTTGACGCATCCAAAAGCCCTAAGGTGTCGCATATGTCCATTGGCCGCTGTAATCACTTTGTATCACGTGAACCGCCTGCTCACTTGACAAGTTCTTACAAAAACAAAAAACCGGTCAAGTGCGAGTCGGACTCGCGAACTAAGGGTTCCGTACCATTATCTATAAAAACAGAAAAAATTATATCTGTTGTATGGCAGCCACACTTAATATTTTTTTTTATTCAGGTTTTTTAGTATTTGTTTTTATAGCGGCATCAGAAAAACATTCCCTGCGGAAATTTCAACTGTATAATTACTATGCCTGGTGGCAGACAGACAGACACACATACCGACAGATCAGTCTTAGTAATAGGCTCCCGTTTTACCCTTTGTCTGCGGAACCATATAAACTACCACAAGCAGCCATCACTTACTAAATCGCGAACAACATTGCGAAATCAATAGAAGGGTTTTAGGCTTCCGCGCATTTTCATAATGCCGTCCCGGATTCGAACCCATTAATTATTAACCCCGCTATACGTCCTCAAGCAGTGCGATATTTTATTTATAGTATATTATGATAATGCGCGGCGCACGATGCCATGAATAACATGCTAGTTGTAAAAGACTCGTGTATACCCCCGCACCGGCGCCGTCGCGTTCTGATTTAATATTAATGCGGGCTCCGTATATCCGATATATACGGATAGTGGGAGCGGTGTAAGTCAACTCGATTAGGCTCGCGAGCTAACGGCGTATAGCGTTATAGGATTGTAATGATTACGTATACGGCATGTTTAAACATGACATTCGCGATCCGGGCTGCTTTGTTTCGATATATGCATTTAGTTGTTTTTCTGGGCTTAGGATTACAGAATAATTGTTTATGTATAGGTTTGGCGTTTTATCGATGAGGTATTTCAGTAAGTTCACTCACTGTTACACGCATGGAGGTTTGTTCATAATTTACATTTGAAATACTTTCATCTATCTTTATCTTATCAAAAAAATGTTATAATAGTTCGGTCGGTAATCGGGCGGCCCCAAAACAGACGGCCGCGGTTCGTATCACGATCATTTACACACTTATTTTTTCCCACCGCCGGGGGTCCCGCCGGATAACACTACACCCACAGCTAGTGTTAACAACAAACACAATAGTTCGCCCTCGCCTCCGAGCACGGCGAGACCAACACAACCCGTACACAAGGTACACCCGCGTTCCAGGGCGGTTCTCACCGCCCCCAGCCACCGATTACCTAAAAACACAGTCGACGGCCATCGGGGTCTCGGTCCGCACCGCAACTTCGATGGCCCTTAGATGACATGTCGTAGTTAAACGCACGCATGAGCACATGCGCGGCCCTACCCACAGCGGAGGGCCCAAACCCGTGGGTTCTAGCTAGCCCACCGGTTCTGCGTCAGATGAAGCTTTAATAGTCTCGGGACTGAAAGCAAAAACATCAGTTAATACAAGACAGACTTATTTTTTTTTTTACTTTTGTTCTATTCCAGATCATTTTCTTTATTTTTGGTCCTTCAGGTACTATGTATAATTCTTCTGTACATGTGTATGTCACTGAACTCCACGGCTGGACCGATTTTAATGAAATTTTATGTCTGACTTCGGGTCGATTCGAGAATGGTTATATTAACAATTCGGTTTTTTTGTTTTTTTATTAATTATAAGTTTTTGCCACATTTAAGTCGCGTGTCCTGTACACGTCTGTTGGGTCCGCTAGTAGAATATATAATAAATATAATAAAACTGAACAGTTTGTTTGTTTAAACGCCTTAATTTTTGTAACTACCTTCTGGATTTGAAAAAATCTTTTTGCATTTGATAGCCCAATTCTGAGGAAATTCGCTACAACCTACGGGGATGAAGCAGAAACGTTTCTCGCGAATGAAATCGTACGTAAAAGGAAGACGTTTCACAATGTGAATAAAACTGTTTTAATAACGATTTAAAAATTTGCGGAAAAATGGACGTTAAGTTCTTCGCCGCTGCGTGGATTTGAACTTTCCGTGCATTTTTTGCAAAATTTTAAATTTCGTCTTGATTGCAAAGATAAGCACAATAAAAAAATTTATATCATTAAAAATTATAATAACCAATGATATTATGCAAATATGAGGTAGATAATGACACAAGCGCATCGAAACTGAGGCGCTCAAATTACGCCAATTGGTGTAAATATATTGCCATTCTATAGAATGCGATCTCTTTCCGTATCAAACGTTCTAGATAATTTGTCACATTTACTTATATATGTCATATAATGTAAAGCGGAACAATTTTTAAACGCCACACAGTATGGACATGCGTCATCTATGTTATTAAACATATAATTATGCTCGTACACGTCCAATAATGACTATTACGAAATACACTCATGGAAGGTCCTCCATCGCAAAGCCAATGAAAGGGTCGATGTATTTATTATATACAGATGAAACTTCATATAGACCCGTGATCTGAAAGGACAAACATTGTACGGCTTAATGGTTGCGTATTATTCCTTGTTATGAATATAACCAGGAGTTTCCAATGGTCTGTTCTCAATTTATTGTCAAACTTACGTTTAAGATGTTGTTGCTGAAGGACGCAATAAATGACACATGTTATTTTAAGTCGTAAAAGGACACTTTTATGGCATGCGATGTTTTACGTTTTGAAATTGAGAGGTCCACGACAAGATAGAGTTGAAACATTTAATGTCTGTTCTTCATATAAATAGCCAATGGTTTTAATAGTTTACCTCATAATGCTGAATTTCGATAATAATTAAATAAATAATAAACAAACTAAGCAAAGCGTGAACTATGGTAACTGATAAACATACTTACGAGTAAAAATACTTTTTCATATTAAATATATATTTAGTATAGATAAATAAACACCCAGAAACCAGAAAAACAATGGTCATCACTTTGAAGACATCCTTTGATCCAAGAGATAGGTCCACTATTCACTACGCCGATCGGATCATCATAATCGTGTTAAAATTGACGTTTAATAAGTTAGAACCGTAATGACCGTTTAATTTTATGCTCATGATGCCGGTTGGCACTTTAGACGAGTGCTTAACACCTTGTTGCCAAAAAATAATTTCTTAGAAGACGCTCGTTATACAACAGGCCGAGGGAGAAGCACGCCGCTATATTATTACGGTGATCTTGAATTTTATGAAGAGATAATGTCCTCGAGACGCCCGGGGTCCCTCGCGAAAATATTCCGACGAATTTGCGATTCAAATGCGCAAAGCCGTTTAGAACGCCCAACAAATTAAAGTCGGACTCGTTAAAGCGATAATTGCTGATTGTGTTATGAAATTACGCCAGCGCGTGGCCATGGCATCGCTTTTAGTGTGACTTTATTGCGGTCTCCTGAAGATTGACGCTCGAGGAAGTGTCACATGTCGCCTAAACTGCACCTTGTTATTGTTTAAAGTTGTGATATTTCGCTGAATAGTCGAATGCGCAAACAACTATCCAAAACTAGGCCTTAACGAGCATGAAGTGGCTTTAAGTACAACAGGCCTGAGGCTAAAAGCTCTCTTCATCCCTCCCCTGTTCTCCTGAAAGCGTAAACGGAATCCGTGTTAAAGGGCGGTTCTCAGCGTTCTCAGCCAGCGATTAGAGAGTCGACCGACGTAAGTGTTGAGGTTGATTGTGCAACCTAAGGGGAGTAACCGACACTCAGTCGAAAAACATATAGATGCGCGTGTTAAAAGCTCACATAAAACTGACAGCGCATTGTCTCTATGGTGCAGCAAGCCATTGGCCTCGGCGCCGGATGTTATGGATTGGATTCTCACAAGTGCCCCAACAATAAATGTTGCAAGTCTGGATGTTTATTCCCGAGGAGGGTTGGCAGCAAAAAAGAGTTGAGCCGAAAGCGAAATCATCCTATAAGTGTAAGCATACGGTACCGATATTAAGACACCGTTCGCTACTTAGAAAGCGGTCGATGGGGATAAGTAGAGTTGTCGTCTCGTCCCAGACGTATTCCCGTATCATAAGTCGGGCTAGGGCAAAATAAACACGCGAGAGATTTAATCTGTGAGCGTTTCGCTGTTTAAATAGCGGCCACGGGGGACGGCGTCTTAGCGTCGGGCCGCGCCTATTTGTCGAGCTGCATCTGCGACGTAACTTCCCTTGTTTGCCAACTCGGATTGGATCCCGCGCCCCACTCACCCGCAATCTAGTTTTACGACTTTAAAGCGCTTTCAATGCTGACCTGAACGGCGCTTATGAGCTTATCGCCCCATCGCGGGTCGTAATCGAGTTGTTTTTCGCGGGCGCCTTCTTCGTGGATCGATAAAAGATTAACAATTTAATGGTAGAAGTTTTAAATGTTATGATTGGACGTCAAACATCTCAGCCGCCTTCGGTTGTGGATGCTGTTAGCTTTAAAATTCTATTTGGGCTTGCTTCAAGCTCTTATGAATTTTAAGTGCTGTCACCATTTCATTAGTTTCGACTCCGGAGAACATCTGGCAAACGCGGTGCGATGTCCAATTTTGACTTAGAACTTTTTTTATGCGCCGGAACGTCAGTACTTTATTTACAAATTAAGCACGAGAACAAGTGCGAATACGTTGCGTGGCCTTATAATACTTATTAGGTCCAAACTTAGGGCATTAGTGTGCTCGTTTGGAGGCATTTTGTGGCCAACGGCGCATCGGAAATTGACTCCGATTAAAAGTCAAAATATATTCCAATGAAAGCAAAGAGTTAGATAAAGATCCACATGTAATGAGGTGTCACGCGTTCGATTCGGAGAAGCAACAGTTCCGTGGTGCTGGAGGCGGCGAATGTCGTCACAGTGGGAGTCAAACCAGACAATGGAACTGTGAGACGATGGCGACAATACCCGGACCGCTTTGAATGCACAAAACGACTTTGACCAATTGATTTTCACAGCGCTTTAGCGTTGAACATAAAAGACGCTGCACCGTACTTACAATGGATATACGCTTTCGGCGAAAGCCGACGTGTGCGTATTCAGATCGAATTAGAAAAAAAAAACTCCGTTAAAATATGTGCACATGTACGTGTGAATGTCGAGGATGCCTTTATTTATAACGGTGTTTTGTTGCCCAATGTCTAAACACTGGTAACACAAACAGATCCACGTGTGGACACATGTTGAGCAGGATGAGAGAGGGGCGCAGCGAGCGCGGGTGTGCGACCCGGGGGGCGAGAGGGGCGTTGTCGAGCCTTTGTTTAGAACGTAAAATTATACGACACCAATAAACTCTCTGTTTACCGGACGACCGGGCGCGTCCGCCGCTGCTAGTTGGATCGGATGGTCGTGATTTGAAACGGGCTCATTAGCTACATCGATTACCGAGGAATTTCGAACGGGGCAATTGGATTAAATAATTTGCTTTCAACCCCACCAGCCGGTAAACCGTTTCATAACCGGGCTAAGTCGTTTTTGTATTACGAAAAATTCCTTCGTCCAAACCAAAGCCGGCTGCAAAGATAATGAAATAAGTTTGCTTATTAGAGGCAAAAGTGGCTTTTGACCGCTTCAGCCTCTGATCTTTTCCTTTTGAGCAATACGGTGATGAGATAACTTGTTTTTGAATATGCTTTTCTTCCGTAAAATATCGCGTACGACAGGTAACTTAATGAAGAGTCTGTCCTCCAAGGAAAGCTCCCTAAATAAACAAGCGATATCAGAGACACTCCACAAAAGGTTAAGAAGGGAAATGTCAACTCTTTGGAGATAATGCCCATTATGTGGTTTACATGAGGACAAAGCCGCTCAACAATGGGACTCGGCAGATGTCTCCGCAAAATAAACTTCACAACAAAACTCAAATCATAGAGTCGGATAGACAGTGGGGGAGAGAGATAGCGATAGAAAAAAAATCACGGGATTAATTATACCGTGTACTGTTGGCGGAGCGTAACAATAAATCGTCATCAATGACGTGGGACGCGATATAAAATGTTAATGCCGCATTATGTCGGACAACAATGACGCATTGTGCAAGGAATCCGTCCGCGCAGACAACCTCTTCGGCCCTTTTTACGCGATTCCCCATTGAGTGAACACTTGTAAAATTTGTGACGCGGAGAGTTTTCTTTGTGTTGTATCTATCAGTCGCGAATGAGGAATGTTGTCACAACGCGATACCGATAATAAATCCCTGGGAATACACTTTGTTTACAAGGCTACATATGTGTCCGTATAATGGTAGACTTCACTTCATCCGTTAAATGAGAAACATCTGTTCGAGCTCACTCCGTGATATGAGATCCTAAACAGTGTTTACATTTTTTCGCGCAAGTTTTGGTATATTTCATTAGTATACGACAAAGCACAAGTAGGCCTTATATATATATATAGGAGTATGTTATTTTTTTCCATGTCATTTTGGAAAAATTTCGTCTCATGTCAAAGATGAAATCGAACTAAATAATAGTGATAAATAAACATATGGAATAAGTAGAAAAAATTAGAACAAGGTTCATTCATTAAAAATTGAGTAAAAATGAGTACACATTGCGAGTCGGATGGCTGTTGAAAATATAAAAAAAGCAATATATAAACTGTTACTATTAAAAACTTTGTCCCTAAGTTTTTGGTACATTAAAAAAAACATGTTTAATCTTATTTCAATGCCCCTCTGGTGAGGGTATTAGGGACAGTATAGTTCTAAAGGCCGTTTACCTGACAACGGCACATCACCCTGGGGCGGATTACGTGCGTATTATTTATTATTACATTTGAAAACATCATCGAAAAAGCTTTGCCTCGATGGCCAAATGCATTGATGTCGGCGTTCGAATGAACAGAACCACGTTTGGATCCGTTGCAGAAGGTCTCCGCGTACTCGTACATTACGCAGTTATCACAGTTAATAGACACGATTGAGGTTTTTTTTTGATTTTTGAAGAGCGTTTTGGAAACATAAATTTCAGGTGGACTAACACCCAGATCCGAAAAAGAATATTTGTGGGTCACACAAATACTATTGTATCTTATTATTTGGTATATATTAGTATATTATCATTACACAAAAATGTTTAGATGTTAGTATGTAAATTTATACCAACCGTTGTCCAAAATAATACTTTTAGCCACAAGACTGTCTGGAAGAGATCGCTCCTTAGCGATAAGAATAAGACGGTTGTTTCTACCTCAAAAGTTTTTACTTTAGTGACGTTTCTTTTTATTATTTTATAGTGCTCAATAAAGCATGTATGATAACATTATTTGTCCCCTTGGGAATCGAAGCCACGACCTCCGGCGCCGAAGCCAATACTTTGACAACTGCGCTATGGAGTCATCAAAAATTTTGCTTGTTTTGTTACCATTTATCACCGTCGTACGTTAAATTCGTGTTGAGTTTGATGTGGACTAGATGTTACGCTTTTACAGAATATTTTTGCCATAAAATAGACCGATATTCTTGTTTATGAATAGCAAGTTCGGGACAGATTCCTTTTAAAAAAGGAACCCTCGAATATTTGATTAGGGAACGGTATACTTTATCTATCCTTTGCATTATTATTCCATTCAAAATAACCTATGGAGGAATGTCGGCTGTATATTTTGTTTTTGTATTTTTTACAGTAAAAAATGTCACAAGTGTCTCGAGGTTGTTTGTGCTTTTTTTTGTAAAAACTTCACGCTCTCTATCTATTGACAGAATCGGTAAAGTAAATAATCTTTCTAATGCCAGCAAGCCAATGTGATAATGATCATTGTAAAAATATTATTATTAAAAATTGTTTTCGAATATTTTATTAATAAATTTTGAAAACAAAATGAAGGCACTTTGATCTTCTTAAACTGTAAAGCAAACGACAGATAAGCTTGATATACTTGTAGAAGGGTACTATGTTAATATTATTAGGGCAACGTCTTATTAATTAATAGGAAAAACGAAACTTTTGTTTTTTCAAATTCACATCATGGTATCATCACCAGTCATGGTATATCTTCGCGAGCATCATCTCAAGTCGCCACTGCATTAATTTATTGATAACTAGCTACTGCTCGCGACTACGTCTGCGTAGGCTGAAGGTGTAACGTAAGCTTCAAACGTTTATATACAAACTGTTTGCGTAGGTAAGTGCGGCTTATCGTGCCAAAGGTAGTTTTTTCACCGAGTATTGTTCCCGAGAGTAACATAAAAACAGATTATACATAAAATATGTGTATAAAGTATAGCCTATGTCTTATTCTGATGTATAAGCTATATTATTGTAACGTTTCATTAAAATAAATTCAGTAGCATTTGCTTGAAAGAGTAACAAACATCCATCCATAAATACAAACTTTCGCCTTTATAATATTAGTAAGGATTAAAATATGAGCTAAAAATCGTAAACTCTCTACTACGACACCAACACAACATCAATGCACTGCTTTATAAGACAGCTCGTAAAATTTTATCCGACCAACGACGGATATTCCTCCAATTAGATCTTAATTAACTCTTTTCATTCGCATCTATTTCTGAGACGGTTATGTTGATGAAAGTTATACGCTTGTAAGACGCTCGCGCCTGAGGAGGGTTGCGTATTAACATCAGATACTCCTCCCGGCTTCGACTTGCATCATTACAGGTTGCTACAGGAGTTATGGCTTTATTAGTTGAAGTTCATATGTCGCACATGTCGCCTAGCTCCGCGTGTTCGTTACGGGCTCAACAGGAAAACAGTGGAGACGGAATAAATGTGACTCCTTTCGGATATTGCCGAGTTGTTATTTGCGGATTCCTGTTCCGTATGGCTTATAATCTTTTACAGAATCCCCATATGGCGGCCTCCCCTCTGAACTCTCATGCTCCTTAATATTGATAAGTAATATTCCAAATGATGAATAGGATATCGTATCGTATTTACACGTAATTATCTAATACACTATAAAGTGGTAATGGTCTTTGTGAGAAAAAAATCTTTTAGAAATAAAAAATCTTTTAGAATAAACTGAGAAAGAGAAAAAAAGAGGACGTATCTTGCACAATTGGAGTTCTAATCGAAATCTTCATCTCTTTAATTTCTATGTGATATTTACGTTTCGTTACGTCCCCTTTGTGGGGTGGATTGACGAGATCGGATGTCTATACACCCAATGTTGTCTAGTATTACAATTGTTCTCGGGAACAATACTCGGTGAAAAAACTACCTTTGGCTCGATAAGCCGCACTTACTTACGCAAACAGTTTGTATATAAACGTTTGAAGCTTACGTTACATCAAATACAGAATTCAATGCGCCTAGATAAGTAAGTTTATATTTATTAGGCCTACGTAAATTTAGAGTTCATCGTGACGTAAATTAATGGTGGTATTATAATACAAGAGTTACAAGCTCTACATACTAGCAGAGTTAAAGCGCATTTTGATTATGTTTTCAGTTTGTCTTCTAATGCTATACGTACCTACGAAAGTTACAAAGTCAAAGTCAAAGTATCTTTATTCAATAGAGGCTTAACTTAAGCTCTTATTGAACGTCAATAAAGAATCTACCGCAGATTAACTGAACTAGACCTGCACAGAGAAGAAACTCTGCGGTCTTGTTCTTTTTGTTATTTTTTTTGATTCGGATTCTAATATAGTTTTCATTAATAGATTCAGTAGTTCAAGATGATTGATTCGTTTTGTGGTAATTTGTTGATATATGACGATAATTGTGGAATGCTGTGTATTTCTTTTGAAATATAACAATAAAAAAGAAATGCGTGAGTGTCGTGGAATACTGCGTTGGAACGAAGTTCCCTTCGTAGTATATTATTATGTATAAACGTATTACATTTTCGTGACGTCATCACCGTGACGGAATATTTTACAATTTTGTTTTGCCCAACCGCCATCCGCCAAATCCGTACCGTGCGGTAAAGAACTTCCAATAATGTATTATGGAATAGTTCCTCTTTATTAACTCCATGATGGAACCACATTAGTATCTACATTGCACCCGTGCGAAGCCGGGGCGGATAACTAGTAAATACAAGCAAATCCGTCTGATTGCTCGATTAAACTAATATTTTAGAGGTCCAATCTTCTTAATTAATCTGACTGCGATGTCGCAGTGCTCGTGATTAGTTTGTAAACAATAGGAATCGTCCCAGGGCTGTGTTCGGAAGGTCGCTTAATCACCCAAGGGCACGGATACAGTTCTAACGCAAATATTAATTAATGCCACCATCCCTACTTACCTAATTCGGGAATTACTTCGTATCTGAATGTATAATCGTAGTGCAATGAAGAATCTGTGGGATCCTTGTGATCGATTGGCCACTGCAGTTTCTTGTAACATGATAGGTATATGGCATTTGAGTTATAACAGCAATCATGGCTAAAGTGCTACGCGAATTTGGACACGATATATCATTATGATTCAACGATGAGAGATCATCAAATCGATCGAAGAATGTGTTGGTATACCTGCACATAATATTTCAAATTCTTTTGTGGTTCTTATTGCATTTAACATGAATGTGGTTAGTTTTTATTTGTGACCATATATCCAGTGCATTAATCAAAACGTTGGGAATGTAAATGCGAAGATTATTATAGAGACTTGATTTTTTTTTTAAATTAATCTAGTTTTATTTTCGGCTAAAGAAGTAATGTAATCTGTCTTTTCCAAATGCGTGGTTAATATGTATTAAGTATGTTATATATATTTTAGATTCGGTATATATATTCGACTTTGATTTTGAACAAATGCAACTTCAGTAATGGGATCGGATTCTCTGTCCGATAAATAAAAATAATATGCCTATTAAATATTTTTTTAAAATATTAGCAATCGCCGGAAATTTAAAATCAAAAGAAATGTGATAAAATAAAAATGTTAAAAAAAAATATATTTTACCATTTATAGTAATCGCGCAAATATATCGAATTACTAAATGAAACTATGCTTAAGGATTTATCGCGTTTATTTTTGGTTTTAATACCCGTTTCGTAATGATTCAAACCCATTACATCGTTCATGGTCACGGAACGCCAGGAATTAAAACCAATAATAAAATCGCGATAAATCCGTAAACATAGTTTCGTTTAGTAATGTGTGAACGCGTGAATACAAGAAATTATTACGGTTGTATTTTTGTTTAAAACCATGTTGATAGACGAAATCGATTCGGAGAATAGAGCCGGGAGGCGAACGTCAAATATGGCGCGGCGGTCGCTTGACGAACCGTGCAAAATGATAATTAAGAGAAACCGCTCAGTCATCGTTAATGCGATAGCCGCCATGTAAATTACAACGGCGGCGCGTTGCTTACAACAATGGCAGCAGTCGATGGTTTTCATTAAAATTTAAAACTCCCCGCGGAAGAGGGGCGTTTTTCGATGGACGTTTTGAAATAAAAACGCGGCTAAAGGCGATGCTGATTGCGCCCGGTGGCCTTTTCCGGGAATTCCCCGCTGTTAGTATTTTAATAATCCGTATACGTAAGTGAGTGTTCATTTGAATTTTAGTTCGCTAATGAGGCCCGTGTTCTTATCTCACACGATTATTGAAATGGCGTTATTAGTTTTTAGGGTTCCGTACTCGAGGGGTAAAACGGGACTATTGCTAAGACTCCTCTGTCTGTCTGTCCGTCTGTCTCCTGGCTATATCTCATGAACCATGGGTAGACGGTTGAAATTTTCAGAGATGATTTATTTCTGTTACCGTTATAACAACAAATACTAAAAAACTAAATAAAAAAATGTTTAAGTTGGGATCCCATACAACAGACATGATTTTTTGGCGTTTCTATAGATAATTGTAAGAAACTACTTTGGGGAAATGCAGCCGACATAAATACTATTTTCATCCTGCAAAAGAGAGCTATTCGAGCGGTTTATAACCTGGGCCCCAAAGATTCACTAAGAA